CTATGATTCTATGATTCTAAATAAACCTTGCTGTTACATATGTCTACTTCGTTTAAGAATAGATACTACATTGAAAAAAAAAGAGATTTGTACTGAAAGTCAATAAAGTAAAGAATTGGAGTCTCCTGAGGAATACAAGATGTCTTTCCTCTTTGCCACTGCAATGGTTAGCAATTCTCACCCAAAAAGCAGTCAAAAATATTGTTCCATTGCTTAAGGCAATCTTTAAGAATTCCAGGATTATTACGATATGGCAGTTAATATTGAGAATAAGAGTCCAGGTTTGTATATTGGAATATGTTTACTACTGAAAACCTGCAAACCGCTATTGTATATATGTGAGTGTGTGGGCTCACATAGATACACTGAATCATAAATACATGTTATGATCTAACTTAAGCTCTGTACTTTAAGGTGAAGGTTTTTACATATCCAGATTTAGACACCTAGGTCTCTTCAGATGATACTCCAAGTATCAAGTATTGCAGGGTTTGTCCAGCTTTTAAAAAAATCTTTTACATTTTGACTAGACTTCAGAATCTCTTCTGTGAAAGTTTCTCTGAAAGTGCTGTTGTTAAAAGAGCTTGTATTTTCTTCTTTCCTTATGATATTTGTTCTGCTTTTCTCTCATTTTAGCTACAAATCCAAAGACCCAGTAAACTACTTCTAAATCAATTTTGAAAGAGACCTTAAACAGAGACTTTGAATTAAGCCAGGACCATTGCCTATATCTGATTCTCCACGGTCTGTCAGCCATTCTGAACATGGGATGGCATTCTTCGTCAAACCTTTATCTCCCTGGCCTCCTTTAACTATCATTCCTGGCTATTCTTCTGCCTGCTTTTATTCTTTTATCCTATTTAACTACTTCTCTTTGAAAATAAACTTGAAGACAATAGAATGACCTGTGAGCCTTTCTGTTCCAACTAAAATCTTGACCTACATCTCTCCTTGAAGATATACATAGTCATTATGTGTGGTGTGGCAGAGGAGAAAATGGCAGAGGTTGGGCATAAACCCATATGAGACAGCAAGTAATGTGGTAAATGTGGACAGCGACATAATATTGTTAAAATAAAAGACTTTAATAGGCCTCCACCCACTTGAGATGTAAACCACTGCTTAAGTGATCCCACCTAAGCTCTAGCTAAGATTTATAAACTGTTTGATTGGAGAGCTTGACCCGTCTCCAGATGAATTGCTTTTCTCAACAAGCATATCTGTTCTCTGTTTCATCCTTTGCAATTGGGAGGAAACTCTCATAGGCACAAGCAGAACCACCTCCTTACTCTCCTTTAAATTTTTATCTTAAAAGCTTAATTTACTAATACTAACCAATACTGTCTTCTTGTTTCGTTGCATTTGATATCTAACAGTTTATGTCCAAGTTCTGTTTCTTGCACTCTGTTTAGACTGAAAACTCTCTGGGACTGGAATAATTTTGTCACATATTTGTGAAATACCTAGATCGGTGGAACTTCAGTCCCCAGCTAGGACCCTCAGGTACTATGGCAAAATAGCAATAATAGAAAATGGCCATCAAAGTTTTGAGCTGACATTTTTGGTTCACAATGATTTTTAAAAACCCTTTATTTGCACCAATTTGACTGTAAAGATTCTGAATGTGGGAGATACTGTAAGAGGTCAGGCTACTGCAAAAATGCTGACTCTTTCCATGTAACTAGAGAGGAGATGATCAGTCTAGAGGGAAAGTAGCCCTTCCACAGGTAAGGCTGAGAACCACTGGTCTACAAACAAGCCTTTTTGCAGCTTCTGTGTTTCCAGTTGAGATGAAAACTGCTGCCATGAGTTGACACTGGGGATGAAGCAGGGAGATAAAGAAGCCACACCTGCAGCCCATGGCTGAGATGTGCATACTTTACAAAATTTTACCAATGAGAAAAATATCTGGCTTCATTTAAGAGTTCTACAATTTCTGCTGAAATTATCTGCAATCATACATGTTTATTTTCTCTCAAGGAAAAACAGCAAAGGACACAAAAGAGGCAGAAGGGCAGGCAAAATGATACTCAAGGAGAGTTGGGCATACAGCATTCTACTGTCTCTCTCCTTTCCTAGGACCATATTTGTTCAACTGGTAACTGTAATAACATTTTGTATTTGCCATTGTTTTGCATTTTGACATAGGAAGTTATCTACGTGTAGATATCCCGGAAGTTTCCTACTGAAACTATTTATTTTCTATGTAAAAGGAAACTAACTTTTTTATTTATTTGGACAGATTGTATTTTACTACAGCAAAGAAAACTGTTATATTAATGCACCAATGCTGTTAAAAATGCATAGACTTTCTTTAGGAGCTGCTATTTGTAGTAATTCAAGATGCCAACTTAAATGAATCACTGCTTGGCATCTAGTTAGTCAAAGGAGGAAAACATCCTGTGAGCAGGCAGCATGCCCATTGAACATTTTAACATGACTACAGTACACCAAATGATCATCATGTTGCTTTAGAGGCTTCTACATACAGTGCCATGAAAGATTAACATTGCCAACTGTGAGAGAGCTGCCTATTACTTTACAGGCTAGACTCATTTTTCTTCTAAATGGAATCCTCTGGTTTGTATTAGTGTATCACTGTAATAAAATAGAGAGTACATTTTATAATTTTCAAGTTATAATGTTATTACAAGTGTAAAAAAGTGCAAACATATGAACAATGCCTCCATGGCAATAAGAGGCAAAGTCCCATTCTCAAAAGCCTGTGGCCAGCACAAGAGATGTCACAGGGATTTACTTTTTCCACTGTACTGACAGCACATTTACCAAGCCAGTGATACGGAGCTATGGAAAATGGCAATGTCTTGTTTTACTTAATGGAGGTATAGCATATGACATACATATGGCACTGGTCAAGCGTCAGGATATTCCCAGAACACAGCATAAGCAAACTGTAACTGAATGACACAGCTTTCTAAGTGGAAGTTTTCCTTAGCTGATGGTCCCATCAGAGATCAGAAGAGGAAACTACTGTGAAAGACTTGCTATCAGAACAGTGGCATTGGAAGACTTAGAGATGAACTTCAAAGAATACTTCCTTGTGTTTACAAGAAAGTGTCTGTATTTATATTTACTTAATCAACTTCACCTTTGCCATTCAAAGAAGTATTTCTCTATACCTACGACTGTCATTATTTTTCAGTTACCCAAGGGATACTTATATCGTTGTTATACAAGTTTCAAAGTGATTTTTTTTCAGATTTCCATATATATGGAAATCTTGATTTCACCCTAAACAAAAAACATCTGGGAACCATGGAAAAAGAGCTTTATACCATTTCTGTTGCACTGTCTTGGCTATGAATATTGAAAGATGCACAGACCTTTTAGAGTAGTTAGAACTGAGCGCCTCGGCGGCTAGACAAGGAACTCAGAAAGGGTCAGTGAGCAGCGACTCTGATCCCAATCTTACAGCTTCATCTTACACCTAATCTGGTGCAAAAGAGACAGCCCTGCTTTCTCTTTCCACTCCCCAGCTATTTTTATCTCTCAGTGGATCTAATTGCTGTACAACTACAGGAAGAATCAGGTAATCCAGATATTTGAACAGAAAACTGTTGATTTTTGGAGTATGCTTCTATCAGGTCAGCTGACTGATCTTATTCTGTTCTGAAATTACAATGTAATTTCTCAAATAAAAAAAAACACCAAGAAACTGTCCAAACTGATTTATTACTTTTCTTCACAAGCTCTGCTGTCAATGCTATCAAAATATATAGCTATTGAAAGAGTTAGATTTCTAGGACAGATTCATCTAATCTCCTTCTGTAAACACAAACAGAAGTAGTATATCCAAAACATCCCTTATTTGAAGGGCTACTTTTAACATTACCCTATCGATTACCGTTGATGCATAGTTGCCACTACATTTCTCTCAGATACACTTCTGACAACACATTTGTTGTTAAAGAAATGAAGGACTATCACCTCATGACCTTTACTGTTTTTATTATCTTTTCTCTCTTCAGCCATTAGTAAGAACCACATACCCATCAATAATTATATACAAGTGATCCATAATTAAGACTATAAAACAACTAGATAAAGGCTGTCAATGTTATTTCTGAAAAGATGCTATTCCAGTGGCAGTGCAAAAAAGAAGAAAAAACCAGGTTTTTTAATGCCTCATTGCTAAAAATTTGTTCTTTTTCAAGTCTTATGGTTTTTGCTGTTTAAACTGAATTTTCATGTAATACAAAGCTTTGTTATCTGAACTTCAAAAATATTACTAGCTAAATCCTATAGAACATAATTCTCTGCTATTTACTCTTCTACATTCTATTCAGCAAGTAATCTGAAAAACATGAGACAGAGCTTACGATCAAAATAAAATCCTTGTGCTAATTAATTCAGTGACAGAATCTCATTCAGTCCAACAAGGCTATGTTTTTATCTTGATGACACTGGGACTGGATGCTGTGGCCCACTGCTGTCCTAGTTAAACAATTACCTTTTCTTCAGGAATCCTGCAGCGCATGTTTTCCAGGTAACTTGATGTATTTTCCACATTTGTATACCTCAGAAGAATATGGGCAAAGTCTTCCTCACTGATGGTATTCATCCCGTTAGAGTAGGAAAGGAATTCTATCTCTAGAACTTCAGTTTGTAGGTTATCCATAAATCTAAAGCACAAACATAAATATGAAGAAATAGTAATACTTTATATTCCTACTATTCATGTCCTTGGAAGACTCGGTAGAATATAAAGCCAAATAGCATTATACAAATCAGTTCCCTTTTCGTAGCGCTGATGGTAAATTTGCTAAATCCCTTACCTATGTTGACATTTTTTCTAATCAATACAACAATCTTAACTCACAGATGAAGTGTTTTAGTAAGGATTAAAATGACTTAATACTTACATTTCTAATTCTAGTTTGCGTTTGCTTAATTTTCTTCTTCAGTGGGTCACTGATCTTTATTTTTATATGCTAGACTGAAAATTCCATCATGGTACTAAATGAATTCCCAAAATTTATTCCTCATATAGTTACTTACAGATTGCAATTAAACCTTACCTTTCTCTTTTTAACAAGCTAAGTATGATGAGCTCTTGCAGCCTTTCAATCTAACCTTTTTTTTTTTTAATACTTCACTATTCTTATGATATTTCTATAAACTCTTCCCAACTTAACAACATATTTAGTATATTCTGGACACCAAAACTCGATAAAGTGTAAAACCAGCTATATATAAAAAGGAAATATAACTTCCCTGATTCTGCTTGATGTCCTAGTTATACAACCAAAGATGAAATTAGCTCTCTGGTCCCAGTACTGCACTGGGAGCTCATGTTCATGTGATTGTCAACCACAACCTGTACCACTTCCCTGTTACAGCCTCCCAAGAGTTTCCATCCAGTAGACATTGCCTGCAACAATCCTTCATAAGATATAACTTGACCTCTAAGAACTATGAGGAGCTCAAATCAAAAGGATGTCTACGCAAAAGTATAAGTGCAAGGTAAACATACAATAGTATTTCCCTCACCAATCCATAGTTTAATGATTTTTTGAGCTGGTAAAGTAGTGTTGCATAAAACTTGATGGATCCCTCTTTCATGAATATCTCTACTAGGTTTTGCCCTCTTTAGCATTCACAACATCTTACAGCAATAGACAGACATTTTAACTAGATGCCTTTTGAAAAAGTACCTTCTTTTCTGGTTCTTGTTTTGAACTCACATCATGATTTCACTTGATGACACAGTTTTTATATTATGTGAAATACTGAATAATTTTCATGACATACGTAATTTTAAGGCAAAATATTTTGCAAACATCTGATTGATTAGAATGCACAGTTAAGTGATAACTATAAAGACAATAGGTATTGGGAGTATTTACTAAGGAAACAAAACCCAAACACTGTATCTCTTTCAATCACAGAGAAACATACAGTTTTACGGCTCTGTTTTTATGGCACTCTCCCTATATTTTTAAATTCTATTTTAACTGGTGGAATAAGTAAGCCAATAGCTTCCACTGTGTTTTCACTTTTTCTCAGAAGCTTGTTCTAAGGTGCCTACATGATATCTTCAGAAAAATCTTTACATTTAAATATGTCCCTAAGAGCAGAGATACACATAAAGTTTTTTTTAAAGCACTGACAATTGGGGCGGGGGGGAAGGGGAATTCAAAACCAAGAAAAAAATTCCTACGTACCAATAAAGACAGGGTTGGGGTATAACCTCTCTACCCTAAACCAACTACGTGCACAATTGCTAACAAAATTTGCAAATGCAGCAATAGACAGGACTTTTTATTGTTGGTCCACTTATTGTTTTATTTTGCTCTTCGTATATGTAACACACACAAAGGGAACATAAACCTTATATACATGTCTGCATAAACTATGTGTATAATAATTCAATACACATTAATTATAACAAGCATGCAAGTATTTTTTTTACAAGGAATTAATAAAGTTGAGACTTACCTATAAAAATCTTCAAAGTTCAGTTCAGCTTTTCCTTTCTTGCCGAAAAAGTGTACAAGCAGTGTAGTATCTGACAGTGAACTTGAAATATCATCAGCACGCTTAAATATTAGAATAAAAAAAATTAAATGCCATGATTGATCAGTTACAGAAGTATAATCTGAGAATGCCTATCATCACAATAAACCCTTCTATTAAAAGAGTTTATTTTATGTTCACAGTCTCAAAAAAGAGTTTAGTATTAAAATCCATTAAATTAATTTAGTCATGCAATTTTCACACAAAATAGCATTAGGCTGTTAATTGCATTTAGTAGAAAACACTTAAAACAACAATATAATATAATGGAAGCTGCAATGAAGGGGGAAAAAGCAGGAAAAATAAAACCAGAAACCCTTGAGAAAAAAAAATGTTCTAGTCAGTTGAGGTAAACCATAAAAATAACTCCCTTTGTACACAATCTTCTTTCCCTTCTACTATGCAACTACAACGAAATTAAAGAAAGTTATTTCATATAGTCTTATTTTATATTTCAGAATTATTAAGTATGGGATTGTATTCCAAAACCACTCACATCAGTCAGGTGTACTTTATATGATTCTTTTCTGTAAGTAGCAGATGACTACAGTTTAAATTTTATTGCCCAAATATATTTAAAACAACAGAATTTTAAGAAATTTTGAAATAATGAAGTAATATTTTGACTCATTCTCTTAAGAATGTTCCTCATCTACTGAGTGAACAGGTGTGGTCTCTGCATCAGACAGGAATCTTTGAACTGTACTAATACCTTCTCCTTAATAAATAACTACCGAATTTGAAGGCACAGAATTACAATACTTAAACCAACTAATTTTGATAATTCGTAATAGCAAGAGTTGTAAATAGGAAGACACGTATATAAACAGAAGTAACTATCATCAGTGTATAGTTATTGTGCAACATTCCACTTTTTTACTACATATTCATTACCCTTACCTGTCGTGTACGTGCATTGATTTTACCTCTTTTACAAAGAAACTCTTGATATACTGAAGAGCTAGAAAAATAATAAGGCTCTTAAATAAGCCATAGTATTCCACCATGGCAATGTCCTTCTGGCATTAACGCGCAACTGCCAACATTTGAAATTAAATCAGTAACATATTTAGTCTCCTTGCTGCACCTGCCTAGGGAGAACCTTCTGTCCAAGCTCTCATTTTACTTGCAAAGACAAGATCTTAGGAAAAACAAAGAGTGGGAGCCAGTAGTCTCTGCTCTTCCTAGGCAAGCTACCACCCATCAGCAACACCGTATTTTTGTGGAAGTGTGCCTGCTGACTCTACTGTTAAAGTACAAAACAGAATACACAGTACAGAAACCTAGTAAGTATTTGGGAGATGTAACAGTACTAATTTATCAGCAAAATGAAATATTATAAACCCATGGGATTTACTGTAAGTATAGAAAACTGTTTATACAGATCTATAAAGATCTGCATATACAAACCTTCAAGCTGCACTCAGAGTCCTTTAAGTCTGACTTTATGAAATAAACTGAAGAGGCTATAAATTTATAACAGATGGAGAAACTCTAAATGAAGAAACTAGGAAGAAATTTTGAACAGTATGCAGTAGTTCAAAATCATGTACCACGAAAAACCGTTTCATATCTACATTCTCTGAAATATACTATATTAATTTCAAATTTACATACTGATTCATTAAAAAAATGTAAAATGCAATACCCATTAAGAGTATTTATGTATCAACAACAAGGAAAAACATGAGGCAATAACAACACAAATCCTTTCCTTTCAACATCCAAGAACTAAAGAAATGAGAGAGACTTTTCTGTACTTTAGTATAATCAGTTTAGGATTCTCAAGATTGTATTTCATGTACTCTAGCTTCCTCTTTATTCTCATATTCTTCTCCAGGGAGAAATAAGATGACATAGTGTATATATAGGTAGAGAGATATTTCATGTCCTTCAATTAAGACAGCTCTGCTCTTCAAGTGAGCAAACTAATTCAGAAAAGTAATCACTATTTGTCTTTTAATATTGTTATCCTCCACTACAGGACACAATATACTGAAATGCAGATACCCTGATTTCTTATTTCTTTTAAGCAATTAAATCCCTAAGCACATTCAAACAATTTCCCTTAAGTACACTGAAAAGATATCAAATGTTAAATTACAGCCTTTCATCTTGCAAAAACATTTCAAAACCTTAGACTTAGGTTGCATTCATCCATATCTAAAGAACCATTTAAAAAAATACAATCTGTAAGTCTTTTCACAATTCCCATATGGTCAGCCTCATTAAATGAAAAAACCCCAAACAAAAACCTCACCCCAGAAACTCAACCCAGTATGCTTTTCTGCAGAATTGCAGGCAACCGAAAACTATTCCTGTGCTCCTTCTGCATTGAGAGCATTATATAAATTCTCTCTCTTAAGGGGTAAGGATAAAAACAAAAGCCTTACTCATTTAAAACTCTTATTTATTTTTCATAATAAAATTAATTTTGTATTTTAGATCAGTGAAAATGCAATGACCGCACCTGTTTCCATACATACAAATGAGAGACTCTATTTTGATCTAATATATTTTGAAGTCTTTTAAATGAGAATAAAAACCTGCCTCGCTTCTCTTTACCTTTATACTAACTGCAATACAAATACAGGTAAAGAGACAAAACAGGAGAGACAAGTGTTTCAGTCACATTATTGGCTTGCTGCATAATGGCAGCATTTTTTCCTCTCAATTTCCTAACCTGAAGAGCAGCAAATCTATTTTTTTTACATTCTGCAAGATTCATTTCAAGCTTTTGATTAAAGAGGGTCAACTAAAAGTAAGCTAAACTCATGAGCAATGGTCCACTTGTAGCAACATATTCTGAGAATGAAGTATGCATATTATGCTTTGAGTTAGTAAGAGCTTTCTTACTGCAAGTCCTTGATTTTTCAATAGTGATTTCCAGTTTCATTTAGTAATTTAAGAATAAACCCACAAACTGAACTCAGTGGTAAATGGCATATTCCAACAGGATGGTGTAGTTGCTTTAAATTAGGAATAGAGAAACAATACTGTAAACTGCCCTAGAAAGAAACTGGATGTGATGAGTAACTTCTTTTTCCCCCCAAAGAGATCTTGTAAGTTGATTCTCGTAACAACGAACCTTATTTACTCTCCTTTTCAACTTACACAAGGCCTTCTCAAAAGGCTATGAAAAAACACAGACTCCAGTGTCACCTAGTTTTATGCCATTTTCTTAGTGCAGATAGCTATAATATCATTCATATGCGAGAGTACCTGGGAGGGATAAGCATATGGATGAAAGCCAGCCGGCTCAAACTTAAACCAAACAAGATAAAGATGATTATGGTGAGAAGTGGGAAATTCTCAGTGGAGTAAATGAAAGATATAAAATCTTTTTCATAAAATGAATTAAAACTGAGCAGAGAGACTTTTAATACATTTTACAGACAATTTAAGTCAATGTTTAACATAGCTGCTGTTAAGCTTCAGTTACATTGTAGGTCACAGATACTAGCCTGACGCATCAGATGTAAAAAATCTCTCTCTCTTCAAATTAAAGGCATGTAGAGATTGCCAAACTTAAGTCCATCTCTACTTGGGACTGAATTCATTCCAGCTAACTGTAGATTAAGATGACAGTTAATTCAGAAAACTCAGTGCCCCAAGCTCCTTAAATAGCCAATGAAAAGAGCAGCCCTCTCCCCTCTATGTCTCCCTTAGCTGACTAGACACGAACGCTGATGTTCTGGGCTTTAAAATTTGGTGGAAAAATAAGGACTAAGAACTGGACTAACAGCTCAGGAGCTCATCAATTGAAAAGGAAGAAAAGAAAGGCTGGGTATACTGTTTTATTGCAGGATTACTACAAATGTATTATTACTATGAATATTGCTATAAATATTGGTCTAAAACTCAGTTCTGTAACACTGTATTTTGTTTTGTTTAAAGGCAAATGAACTCAGGCTGACAGAGGTACAGAGAAGGCATATTTGATATCTGGGAAATGTAGGTTCTACCTTAAGAAAAGAATCAAAGACCTCATTTTGTTTAGCCTACGATAATTAAAATTGTGGGCTATGACTGCATTTATAAACATAACCATGAGTAAGAAGATTAACACTAAAGAAGAAAAAGCCCTATGAAAATTAAGGGACAACAGACTGGTATAAAGGGACTATGAGTAAATTTAGCCTGGAAATTAGAAAAAGTCCACCCAAGACCTCAGGTTATTCAATAGCTTCTGCAGAGGAACAGCAGGGACAAAACACTAATTACTTTTAATATAGAGCACACATTGCTTATGAAGCAAAGAAAAAGATTGTTTTACCCTGGAGGTCCGTTTCAGTTCCATGTTCTTTTCTCATTATGATCCTGCTTATGAAGCATGGGACTTGAGACCAGAGAGTCAGTGGGGAGTTGCTGTATGTCCTTTAATGCCACAACCAGCAGAGCAATCACCCTCACTGTATGGGGCACAGAAAAGCCTAAATGATCTAGTTTTCTAACCCTCTTAAATGATCAGTACAAATAAATGTCGTACTCAATTGTCTGAAAGCTCATCATGAAACAAGAATCTGACTAGAATTTAAAGAACGATGGAAATTAATTTCACAGCACAGTGATATTGCTAGTCCTCCACAATGATCGTGTAATATTCAAAAAGACTGTTTTGGTTACCTTAAAACATTTCTGGTTCAATCGAACAATTAAAACAATCTTTGCGTGAAACTGTTTTCATGAAGATAAGCTTTGATAACATACAGAAAAAGCACATTAAGGACCTAAACATTACAAGCTTAAAGGGCTGCAACTCTCATTAAAGTTGTCACATCACTGGACCAAGGCTAAATGACAATGACAAAGGTTTCCTGAACTGTGCAATATTGTCACTATTAGTATCAGAAAATGTTTTCTACAATAAGGAATGAAGAGGACTCGATCTTCCAACTCTTTCAAAAGGTAACTTCGCTTTTACTTGGAAATGACAACTTTGAATTATCACACTGCATGGAACCAAATCAATTTCATCTGAGAACTTTCAGCTTTAAAAAAAAAAAAAGAGGAAGAAAAGAAACAAGGTGCATAAAATAGGAAAACAAACAGAACATAAATAAATAAAATAGCAGTCTGTTTATGGACCAGAGACAGAGGTTGTCTTATACCTCCGCAAGGTCCGAAAAGAGTGCTTGGCTTGTGCTACGTCTCAAAGTATCCCAATAGCTTCTGGGGACAACGTCCTCTCCTTCTGTTTTAAGAACCTGCAGAAGTTTCAAGAAGCACAATTGTTTGAAAACCAAAGAACAATAAAACAGCGGCTTACAGACTTTAAAATCTTTTCCAACTGATCTTCAAAAACATGGCTTGATTCTCTTGCTTCTACATAGAGAATTTCTACCCAGTTACATGACACTTGGTACATCAAAGTAACACTAGTATGTTAGTTATTTGCTTATTACTCATACCTTGGCTGTGCCAAAAGCATCACCAGACTCCACTTTCCCAAACAAAATAATTTATAGAAAATATTTATTAAAAGTACATATGAAAATGTCCTCTAAACTCAGTATTTTGCTGTTGTTTTTCCCAACAATTCTTTTTTGCCAAAAAATATTGATTTATATTCTTATGATATGAAATTTGTTCTCCCATTGGTCAAAATATAAATGCTACCATCTAATTAGTTATATAAAATTAATTTCATCTAACAATCAGGATGACATCCTTGCAACAATAAAGAAAAGCAAAAACCGTTCAACTTCAACTGTAACATACTTATCAAGAGAACACCATGCACATCTGATGATCAAACTTACCTTGTTTATATAGAAAATAACTGTTTAATCTCTCCAAGGAAAATACGCTTACCTTTTTGCTCTGAAATGTTTCATTTTGGATGCCTGAAAAATCCTCCCTTATTAAAATAGGCCTTCCTTTATCTTGCAATTAGTCTTGGAAGATCTACCTAATACATTTCTTCCCCCCCCCTCCCCCTGCCAAAGAATCTAGGGGAGGTGATCCTAAAGACAGCAGGTGGCTATCTGAACTCAGTTAGGGTTATTGCAACTGAATGAATTTTCCCCTTTCTCTCCAGAAGTCAATGTAAACTAGGTCTTCTACTTTCAGGGCTTCCCACTCATGTCTATCTGGGCACGCAAGACAAAGACAGAATGAGTTTAGTCTTCTAACTACAAACGAAAACCATTTTTTTCTGAGTCAGCACATACTGTTCTCTTAAAAGATTTACACTGATGTGACTGCTGTACGATGTGTAAAACCACATTGTTATCATAAAGAATACTGCACAGTTGAAGGTTTATTGTCTCTATGTATTCCACATTATGTCAATCACAGAAATATAAATTTAATTCTTTAAACAGTTGAAATATAGTATGATTTCTATTTTTCTATTTTCCCTTAATGTTTTTCAGCACAGTATCTCCTCAGGTAACAGGTCTTCAATACACTTGCAGTACATCCAGCAGTGATACACAGTTACATGAGTGAAGATATTATTTAAGAGCTCTTATCAATGTAATGGGGCTCCGTGCTTATGGGACCATCCTGTATTAATTTGCTTCAGCTATATTTTACATGTTTATAAAAATGCATCTGTATAAAAATTATTATGTAAATTTACATCGCATACAAATAATGATCTTAGTACTACAGAAACAATATTTCAGCAGTAAGTCAGTATGTAATTTAAAAAACCCAAAAGATAAAAATGCTTTAAGATATTTAATATGAAGTGTGTCTGGCTGCAGAACACCACAACATATTTGCTGAAAGGAAATATGCTAAATAATCTAAAATTTTTTTCCACTTGTGTACTGCTTCTACAAGTTCTATTACGTATTTTCTTTACTAACCAATTCAACTCAGCTCTTTCTGTAAATTGTCACCAAAGAAATACGACAAACTACCAGGAATTATACCCATGCTTAATGTATATTATACTTTTGTTTCCTTTTTGAAAAATTCTGGTTTTATCTTTCTCTTATTTTGGAGTAACAGTTCCTACATTGTAGCGTCAGTATTCTCATATATAACTCCACTCAGTCCTAAATTGCTGAACTCAAAGAAATTGGTTTACTTCAGTGTGTACAGGATTAGGTCCTTAGGGCTTCAGTTTCTCTCTTACACTTATTTAGCCCTTTGGTATTTACTGAGTCATGTATGAACAACACCTCAATCCTTTATCTGTAAAATAATGTATATTTTAAGTAACCACTGAATTTGTTCTCTTGCTGGAGATTTATTTTAGCCAACGGAATTAGTATTTCTGGGCATGCACATTTTATTTTCCTTACATGCATCTCATCATAATTATCATGTTCTGGTTGGCATTTGGCTAGTAAGAGCACTCATGCAATACATGCTGAAGTAGTCTTAACACATAGCTGCAGTATGCACCAGAACATGACTTGAAAGAATTACCTATGGAAATGAAAAGACAAAAATATTTAATCTATTTAAAACTTCACTGTATGCACCCTGTGGCTTATAGACCTTGACATTTCTCAAAAAATTAGAACTGTTTTGACGGATGAAGTGAGGAAAAGGGCCCAACGCAGCACTTTGGACTATCCCAGACTTTTCAGGGCTGCATCTCCTTGTTCTTGAGTATCTTCAACTCCCCAGGACATCAAGTGAAACTGAAAAGGCTGCTACAATTCTTGTTTCAGTAGGGGAAATAGAAATAAAAAATATCAATATTCTGGGGTGGGGGATTTGTTGGATACTGTGAATTGCTATACATCTGAGTATCCTTTGCATGGAGATCTCCATTCAGGTCATAGGAGGGCAGGAAAAGATCTACATACCTGGGCATCATCTTGATACAGAGTTAGGATGTGGCTGGAGTGCACCACATCTAGAAGGAGATTTTTTTTGCTAAAGCTGAAAACTATTATATGACTAGGACAGCCTAACTAGTTTGGTTTCAATTTAAAATAGGAGGCAGCACAGGAATATGGCAACCACTGTACTGCACCTTTCACTGCGGTAAAGCCTGATCTAAAATCCATTGAATCATAAGGCCTTGCACTTCCTACTACGTTATTCTCACAACATTGCAGCATCTACATCATGTCACTGCACCTTTTCGTTCAACAGACTTCCTTCCTGCATACTGCCCAAATTGTATGTGCTAACTTCACAGGAAATAAATCTCTGCATTCCTGTGAATGATTATATAAAGAAACATTTAAAACTTTAATTTCACTTTAAAACTGTTAATTTCACTAGTTATCTAATTAAAACTGTTAATTTCACTAGTTATCTAATTCTTTTAGGTTCCCGCCCCTCACTTTGAATGTCACAATAATCATACCAAAACAAGTTTAATTCTTCTATCACATCAAACTTTTTTTACAACAGTTTTACTTCTGCTGTGATCCAAAAATTAATCAGATCAGGGTGAAGACATTCAAAAACCCAGATGACTCTCTTGCTGACTCTCTCTCCCACTCCTCAAAAATGATTGAAAATAAGTTTACTGTCACCTACATAATACAGGGACTATTTTCTGTAAAATTCTATTCTAGTTCAGCAGTGAAATTTCTTATTGATTTGTTCTGTAAGTGAAGCACAAAAATATAAAAGCTCTCTTCTGGTTTCTTCTTATTTGACTAACTATTACTTCACATTATACACCAGGAGACAAGAGAGACCTGGATCAAATGACTCATGCAGGATGACTTAATACGTTAGTTAAAACCAAGTCTATAATTTCTTAAGATATACTTTGTCCTTTCCCTTAAAAATAGTCTCCTTCATTTTATATAAATAGAGAGAGCAATCTTTCCTCCTGGTAGGTTTGCCTGGTTCAGAATGCATGCAACAAGCATGCACAACCTTTTATGCAAAGATCCATCACATTTTTACTGATTAGCAGAAGTAATTTACTTGATGAAAAAGATAAATATAGTAAATTTTCTTATAGCATATTATTTCACCTCACTGGTGAAGACTGCATAAATTGAAAATAATTAGAGTACATACACTGTTAGTAGAAGTATGATATCCATAAAGTTGAAGACGCTGACATACAGCAAAAACGGGCCAAGCCAAGTATCACATGTCAGAATGAAGCCAAAAGAAGGAAAAAAAAATAAAGACAACAGAATAGGTTAAGACAAGTAAATATTTATTTTATATATTACTAGATTTGTTTGTTTGTTTGTTTTTAAAATGTCAGTGAAGAAAAAATGGTTTATTTTCAATCTCATTCTTTAAATTTTCAAAAGAGAAGTACAGAGTTGCAGAGATTACTCTCAAGAGAAACGTTCCATTTCGTAATCTTTACTTTTTCCAAAAGCTCTTCTTTTGGGTGTAAGTTTCCTTTGTTCAGAATAAACAGTGTGTAAGAGATTCAACAATTGACATACAGTTTTGAAAAGCTGAGAAGGATAGGTCTCTCTGGGTTGGAAGAAAAGGTCCCTTTTTATGCTCAGGGAAGGTTTAAAAAGTATTAATTCTTGAAATTCAAACTTCCTATGGCTTCAGGGACAAAGATCTGAGATCAAGCATCTATGGTCCAAAAAGGATAATGGGCACTATGAGAAGCTTTGCATATATGTCAAAATGTTTCTTATAATAAGGAATTCTTGCCATAAATATGCAAATCGCAAATGAACACGTTTTTTTCTGTCATGGGCTTGATAGAGACTTGTCCCTAATTTTTACTTGTCCAACAGTAAAATAAGTTCCTGTTGCTGCTGCCATCCTCCTGATAAGCCACCACAGACTTGTCTGTTTCTGACTTACCCTTCTTATGCACATAAGAAATGCAAACTTGACATTAAATGAGTATTCAGTATTCCACAAAAATCTATTCACATAATATAAACAACTAAAAACATTTTGCATTGGTCACAAGCAGTATTTAATTAAAAAATTAAATTTGAATATAAAATCCAAGTTCACTTACAGTATCAGCTATTTTAAAACTACTATGTTAATAACGAGCATCAGGATCAGTATGTCTACATGAACAGTTTCCGATAGTTATGAGAGCAGGAGTAGAGTTTGGTCTTGCCACTGAGATCTCTCACTCTTATAGACAGTTAACACTGGTCATTGCTATTCACTTATCCTACATTTATGGATTCCAAATGGAATCAATGTTACTGTCATAATATGTAATAGAATATTTAAACACTAATTTTTCCTTTCTATAGACCACTGAAAGTTTTTTTTTCCCAATAACTGCAGTTTAGGCTAAATATTGCTTTTTTCTTTATATAGTTATACATATTCTTTTAATGATATGAATTTATTGTTTAAAAAAATTTGAAAGTAATTAGTGAAATATACACACACGCACAATTTTGTCCTACATCAAAGAAAACAAACCAACTACCAGCTGCAACTATTCTAATTTTACTTACCAGCATTGCACGTTTTTCTTCATCTCCTTTTCTTTCTCTCTTCTCATTTTTTTTCCTGAAAATCTCTTGTAGCTAAAAAACAAACCATTTTGTTCTTACTTAGTTTTCAGGCTACTTCACATGCATAACAATCATTTGTTGTGAGGAGCACTGTGAACAGTATTAAAATGTAGTTGTTTACTAAAATATCAGTGTTTCAATGATGCTTTACTGTTCATATTCATGCCTTCATGTTCCTTCTGTCACTTTAACCATCACACAGAAAGGAAAAAGGAAGTATTTTTCCCGCAAAGTAAGGCTGATAATTCTATTTGGGAGCACAATACTAAGAACATCCTATTTAGCTTTATATTAGCCAACCCAGCCTATCCAAAAAGGGGGAGTTCCAGCCTTTTTCACCACCTCCTTTCTTGTCAGGTACTAATTAGTATCTGTGTGGCTATGCAGGCAGCTGGATCAATCTTTTTTTCATATTGTTAGTTTCCAACCAGATCAGTTCTTACTCCTGCTGGCACAAGGGAAGGGTGGAAACACCTGGTGGGGGTGAAACATTCCCCTTCAGCAGCAACAAACTACTACTCAAGAGTAATTTATCAAGTACTGTTTTTTTTCAAGTCTGTTCAAAGAATACCTTCAGGTCTTGCAAAATACCCCTTTCACAACTTTCTCTACATTAAGAGCTTTAAACATGACTTCTGAGAAAACCTCAAATACAAGATTTAAAACATACAGATATTATTAAACATATTTATTTTTGGAAACCACAGTCTTCAGACTAAGAAATGGTCTGTACTTACCTTTCTTTGTAAGTATCTGTATTCTTTAAATCGTTTTATTTATAGTAATACTTACTAATATTCCCAAACCATTAGAAAAAAGTGACACCTTGTTTACTCTTCACAGGAGACAGAACAGTATTAACTATGATCCCATCTATACCTCTACCAGTGAACTTCAACTTTTCAAAAATCGCACCTGAAAATATTGTACTGCCACTTGCAGCATTTGCTAATCTCAAAATGGCTGAAAAAAGCATAAACACTGTGGCTGACAAATTTGTCCTATCTAGAATATGGTATTTTCAGAACCAAACATCATAGCATACAGACAGTGGTACCACAAATACGCAATTGTGGCAGTCGTTTCAAAGACCCCATTTTACCTACCAGAAGTCTGATAAAAACCTGATACTGTAGTAACACGCACACAGAGCTCCCCAGGGATCGGAATGTGAAAGATAATGTGTGTGTGATAAATTTTGCAAGCAAATTTTCCAAATTTAATTTCAGAATACCATATTTCGGAGAGGCAGATGACTAAGACAAAGGGATCACAAAGTCTACTGTAGGGGTATAACAACAGTGAAATAAATGAATACAGTGTTTAGCAACTAAATAGCAAACACATTTATAAATAACGCTTTTATGAATTTCCAAAATTGACTACTGTTTTCTGGAATTGCCTATGAGGCAAATACAGACCAGAATATTGTGTGTGTCACTGCATCTGTTTTTTAGTATGGGATCAATTTACAGACCTTGGTATGTTTTTTCTTATTTTTTGAAAACCTACAGGCACAAATTACTGTAACCTGTGCTGACAAGGAAGAAGTCATGATAGGACGTTTAGCTGGATGGCCTAGAGTACTACACAGTTTGCAACCCAAAACTGTGGAAAGAAGAAAGGTAAATGAAGAGAGAGAAATAGAAAGAAAATACCTTGTAAAAATTAAAGTGACAAGCCATCAAGTAGGAGAGAAGAGTGGCAGTAATTGAAAAATCAAAAAAGATTGGTAAAAAGCAATGCATCCTTGGATGTATTTCCCCTCCCACAGAGGCAAAGGGAATAGGATTCTGTTGCATTCATCATTAAAGCATTTGCTAAACTTCTGGAAATGGATCTTTTGTTCAGAAGGAGTGCTATAGGATACCAGTGAGTAGAAAACTGAATGTGAAAAGGATCTAGGAGTACTTTCATAGGAACATTGTTTGAAATAGGATAAAGAGATTGACTGCTGAAAGCAGCAAAAACAAGATCTCCTGTAACAAGGGAACACAATCCTTCTGTTCCCTGACCTCACCCCTATGACATAAGCAAAGAGGAAAGCACAAACACCATGGAATTAGTTTACAAAAACACTAAAGCTGTTATCAGAAAAATTAAGTATTTTTCAACTCTGCACTACACGTACTCTTCTCTTCAAGAATCACAAAACATGTGATCCGTACATCAATCTCTTCAAAGTCTCCTTATTTGCAAAACTGAATAGTATTAGCTATACTTCCAATTTTATGATAGCTACTGTCATAGTAGCATCAATGGAGAAGTATTTTGCAAATGCTGGATATAGTTTAAATGGCAACACTTACTGTCTCCTGCTTCCAGGCACACAGAAGATGATGCATACCCAAGCAAGCTGAGTACAGATGCCAAGTGTATGTTCTAGGGCCAGGTCTATCACAGCTGCAGCATCACTGAATCAACTTTTATTTTCATATTTACTTTTATTTACACAGACATTATCTATCTACCTACCTGTCTATCTATTTTAGTCTTTCTCAGTCAGATCTAACATTCTGACTTACCGGTTTTGATCTAACTTTTGAAGGGTCACTGAGATGGTAACCAAGCAGAGTTAGGGTCAGGTTTAATCTATACAAATTTGTTAAATACAATAATAGGTGGAGAACAGTGTATCTAATGTTTGGAAATTCTCCTTTCTTTCTTCTATCTTGCCCCTGTACTCAGTACTGGTGAGGCTGCACCTCGAATACTGTGTTCAGTTTTGGGCCCCTCACTCCAAGAAGGACATTGAGGTGCTGGAGCGTGTCCAGAGAAGGGCAACGAGGCTGGTGAAGGGTCTAGAGATCAAGTCTTATGAGGAGCGGCTGAGGGAACTGGGGCTGTTTAGCCTGGAGAAGAGGAGGCTGAAGGGAGACCTCATCGCGCTCTACAACTACCTGAAAGGAGGTTGTAGCGAGGTGGGTGTCGGTCTCTTCTCCGAAGTAACTAGCGATAGGACAAGAGGAAATGGCCTCAAGTTGTGCCAGGGGAGGTTTAGACTGGACATCAGGAAGAATTTCTTTACTGAAAGAGTGGTCAGGCCTTGGAACAGGCTGCCCAGGGAAGTGGTAGAGTCACCATCCCTGGAAGTATTTAAAAGACGTGTAGATGAGGCGCTTAGGGACATGGTTTAGTGGACATGGTGGTGTTGGGTTGACGGTTGGACTCGATGATCTTAGAGGTCTTTTCCAACCTTAATGATTCTAAGTCTGGTAAGAGGAAAAGAATAAGAAGGAGAAATTTTTATCAGGGACCATGACAAAGAACAAATAAAAAGTAGGATGTAAAGAGGACTATAAAAGCATAGTTAGAAAGAAAGATGCAATATCCACAGCCAAATGTTGTCCTTGCTTCCCGCCTTATATACTTATTTGATTTCATTTTCAGCATCAGTTTCTGAAAGACAAAGCCTCCTGCTTCTATCTGCTTCAATTTCCTCCCACTTAGCTGTTGTAATGGAAGCCTTTTTTTTTTTTTTTTTTAAAAAGTTTTTGGTCTATTCCCCCACTTTCTCTTTTATGGAACTCAGAAAGCTTTTTTTTTTTTTTTCCTTCTTCTTCTATTTTTCCTTTGGCCAATTAATCCAATGTTTGCTGGCTTTTTCCCCCGACCGGAGGAGATGGTTATTAGGAACTGGCAAAAATAAATATGTGTACATTTAGTCTTTGAATACAAAAAATGATCAGCATGCCACAATTTGCAAGTGGTGACAGCTTCCAAAATAAATGAGACCTGTTCTGCTTAACCTATGCCACCAGAAAACAAGTCCCTCAGATCTCACTCACTTGGTTGTGTATCATTTCCTTGAAAAGAAGAATTGGGGGAAGTTCAGTGGGTTGAGGACAGTTTCTTTCATGCTTCCGTTTTCTTTAGGTTAGCATAGTTTATCTGAATCAAGCCTTATAACTTGACTTGAAAACAATTAAGAAACAGCACACAGGAAATTAGGGTGTCTTCATTTTAAATAAATAGTGGTCTGACACTTAAATCCATTCTGTGTGTCTGTTTCATTCTTTGTATTTTGTTTCATCTTCTTTAGTAAGGCAGTGGGCTGCTTCTCATATGTATTTACTGTATTTATTTAAAAACTCAACTACACAAAAAATCTATGAAGAATTGATGTCTTCTGCAAATATCTTTTTTACAAACATCTGATTTAATTCTTTTAAATGTTTTTTATTCCCTTAATCGCCTGTACTTATTCAGTAGAAAATAAAGGCCTTGTGTGGTCTTTAGAAAGCTTGTCTAAACCACTAACAACAAACTTTTAAATGCTAATTTCTAAAGAAATGTCAAAAACTATGTTTGCCACAGCTGAATGTTTCAGTGTAATCCCAGACATCTGCTGCGTATGGACATTACCAATTTAGAAAACTCTGATTTATACTGTATTGTGCAGTTTGTTAATGTAAAGCCATGTAGTCATTGTAAAATAAGAAGCCCTAATGATGAGTGGGCAATCTTCTGCATTTCATGATTTGTTAAAAAAGTATAAATTTTTAACTTCATCACTGACATTAATTTAGAATAGCATTAATCATTCCTCCCATTTCTTTTAAAATCAGAAAATAAATGAAATTAACATAAATCTCTTATAGCCCTCTTGTACCAAGGCCTTCTAATTTTATACTTGTCAATGCAAGCATCATTCTTCTGTACTTAGTGGATCCTCTCATCTGAAAACTTGTGAAGTATTCGAATTTTAAGATGCAATCATGATCAAAATCAAAATACAGTGGATGATATAAGAATTTTTGAAGATTTTCTCTCAAGTGCCAAATTCTTCTTAATACACAAATCTCAATGACATGTGAAATAAGCTAATTTTTCTTTCAAAGTCTGGGCCTTTTAGAACTGTTTAAATTTCTAACCAGAAGAAAAATAAACTCTCTGCTTAAATAATTAGAAAGAAGAATTTACAGAACCGCTTTTTTCAAGCAATAAACTGAGTAAAGCTCTATTTTGAAAAATACTGTAATTCAGCTTTGTAATGTAACAAAACCTTTGAAGTAACAAAAACTACTGTCAAGTTCTAGATATCCTGCCAACTGTTCCAAAGCATATGAAAATTATTCAGCTCAACGTCAATTTTGCTATCGGGAATATTCTCCTTAAAAAGAAATCACTGAACCCCATCTTAACAAATTGCTTCAGCATACGGATTTCACGGGCTGAACTAGATATATGTACAGTACGTTTTATTTCATCACAAATCTTGTCCAAAAGAGATGATAGTGTTACATTATGTCAGTCAATATTTTCAGGTCACCTGGGATTATAAGCAGAATGAATGACAAAGTGAAGTGGTCTCCCAGGAAAAGATTCTTTCGCAAGTCCCTCCATCATTATGGCAATTAAATAATTCTGCTGACCGTTGATACAGTAGTATTACTTTAATAGCCTAATTATCTGTGAATGTAGTAGCAATTAAAAAGATCCAGAATAAAAACCGGAATTAAGCTTCAAAAATCATTATATACAACACACCCATGCAATATAATAAGGAGATACTATTTACAATTTACATTACATACATTTACTATTTACATTAAATAAGGCAAATAACTATATTCAGTGAAGAATAGCTCATGTTCTCGTGATTATTGACATCATGATGAGTGTCAATCCAGACAAAAATTTAATTTCAAGATTACATCAAAATATTCAAAGACTGAAAATATACATACCACTAAGAATTCCTTTTTGTCCACCATCTCATTGCCATCAGTATCAAACATGTTGAAAGCAATTCTAAAACCTGCATGCGGCTCTGCCAAAAGAACCCCATTCAATTATTTATTTGCTTGGAAAGAAAGCAAATATAAAACTCTCTGAAATTATTTGGTGTCTGTTTATAAAAGCCATATCCTCAACTAATTTAAATGAGTACGTTTGTGTACATAGTAAATGCAAATCATAACATCTGTAAAACAGTATTATCCATGTTATGAAAACAGAAGGTCTGCTCACAAATTCATAGATTAAGGGAAATAGACAGTAGAAATAGAATATGAAATATCAAAGAAAAATATCTCACAGTAATGGGTGGTTGGGTAGTTAAAAGTGTTAGTTCATAACTAGAGTCTATTTTATGTTACAAAACACAAATTCATAGAAAATAAATTTTCTATGAAAACACACTGTTCTAAAAGACACTTTAAAAAGTTTTGCAAAAAAGGTACAGGATGCAATTTCTGGTCAAAACAAATGATGTGTTGAAAGAGACCCAGAATTTTCTTGTTTACATGCTTAGAGTCATTGAAATTTGAAATCAGGTTAGAATTTCAAATTATTTCTGAAATGTGGGGACTTTGAAGGTAACTGTAAGTGAAGCTTTTAGGCAACATTTTGGTGATACTCAATGATTTGCAATATGGATGAATTATGGCCAAAAGTTAGTCCAGATAACAAAGAAGTGATGGAAGAATATCCATCAATCCAGCAGTTAGGGATTGTAAGGGTTCAGGGTGAAGTTCCTGCTCTGATTCACAGTAAGAATCCAAATCATGTCTGAAGAAAAACCTAATGAATCCAATAGAAATTTTTAAATTACATACAAAGGAAAGACAAGTAAAACACTTCGTTCCTTCCCCAAAAACACCTCTTAAAATATCAAAACAAAGTCTGTATCAGGCTTAGTTTACTCTAGCTATAAGTTCTTCTATGTTGTTTTTATAGGTGGTAGAAGAATAAGTATTCAATTTTGTTAGTGTTTTCTAACATAAATAAACATTTACTTTAGTTTGACAGATTTTGTATTTTATATTCTATCCTTGTCTCATTGATGTCACCCATTATGCACTAATAGGTGAAACAAACCAGTAATAATGTATATCTTCCTCTTCTTCCTATATTCAATGTCCTTTATGAACTTCAGTAAATTCAGCTAGAAATTTTGTAGGAATTTCAAAGAAGAAAATAAATTTAAGCTTTTAACTGGGGTTTAGTTGAAGTGTGTGGCTCAACTTTCTCAATAGTCAGTAAAAGGTGTTCCAGATAATAAAACGCTTAAATAAAACATAACACAAGATTCCAGTAGGACAGGAGAGGTTCAAATGGACAAAGAGATGCATGACAACATTTTTTTCCATATTGGGATATGTGGGGGGGGGTGGGGGGGGGGAGGGAAAGAAAAAAAAAAATGGAGTATTGTAACGTACAGCAATACATTCAGAGCTTAGAAATTTTTAAGGAAGTTTTTGGGCTTTTTTCTGTAAAAATACTTACTTGTTAAAATACATAAGAGGAATAAATATTCTGTGTAAGATATCACACCTGAAGACAAAAAAAAGTTATGCCATATTAGTTTCACTTTGTCTTCACATCCTAAACTTGAAAATATTAAATCTATGTATAAGAAGGAGAATTTTTGTACATGTGCATGTACATTCATACTTCTGTGCATGTGACTGTATTCAATCTGGTCAATGAGTTATTTGTCTAAAATATTGATCTATGGGGTGGGATTTTTTGTTTGGGTTTGTTTTTTGAGTATTTTAAGGGAGGAATACATTAAATACCGCAAATAAACAATTACAGTCAGTGGAGAATGGCTCATTAAACAGAAGCTGGCTAGATTCTTAGAAGCTAACAGAAATTATTTATTTGGTTTTCTTTCCGAAAACCCCACCAATAATTCGCGACAATACTCTCTAACAGTATGAGAACATTTACTCTGAGAACATTAATAGTGCTCCCTCCTGATATGTACCATTTGAGTATGGTTCTTTACTTTAATACGTGCTTTATAAGTGCATGTCCTATATAAATTGAAAACCTGGCCTCATGTTACTTACAAAAGCATAGATTTGGGCTTTTGAGTTGTCTTTATATGCACATTTTCATAATCATCACCTGAAATTTATATTAAAACTCTTACTAAATGAATGTGTAAATTTTGTTAAATATTTTTAAAGCCTGCTAGAGACATTTGTACTATCTCTTCTACATTCAGAAAATCTGTAAGGAATATGTCCTAAGCTTTTCATCTTTTGTTAGATGTCAAAAGCCAATCACAGTGTAGAATGGCACTTCCTTTTCTCTTCAGAAGTGATTAAGGCAAAATTTAAATTAGAGCTGAAGTCATTATCCAAATAGTATGTCTGGTATCATAAGCTGTACTTCTGCTTTTCTAGCTCTTGGGTAAAGAGAGAACCTTGCAGAATGCCCACAGTACCAATGAAGACAAGCATCTTACAGTTCAGTAAGAACTGAAAACGATGACTTGCAGCTCTCCCAAAAGCCCTTAGCTCTAATGATCTTCAAGGCTGAACTAGCAGAACCGGTTCTTGATTTCTAACAAATTGATTTTGTCTGTTCTCCAAAACCAAAAGTGTTAAGTCAGTCCACAATATCAGACTATTTCAAAAGAGTAAAAAAAAAAGTATTTAGATGCCTGAGAGTAAAGATGTCTATCAGCTGGGATTTTCAAAAGTTGCTGGCTGTCTCCTTGATTTCAGTCCAAGTCAGGTGCAAAAGTTTTTCTAAAAACAGCCACATCTTTGGATGTTTAAATATCTTCTAAAATCTGACTTAACTGAATATGTGACAAACTATGTAAACAGTCATCTGAGTTTTTTTCACTGAAAGACCTGTAGAATTAAAACTCAAAACATTGTATCATTCATGTGGATTTTACAGTTATTTGAACACATTTAACATCAGCACTTCCAACACTGCCAAAGTAAGGAACTTTGGCATTTTCTACTAATATTTACAGCACAAAAAGTTCTAAATTAATTCTGTCCAGAAATAATACTCAGGGGCGACTTTCTGCCCTCTTGAATAGCTGAGATATGAAAGTCTCAGTTATATTTCTCTTGGATCTGTTCAAATGCCTCCCAAAACCTTTGATCATACAATACTCCTCCCTAAAAGCCAACTGTCCTGAAAGAGGAGCGCCTTCAAGGGAATAATGTCTACTGTCCTCAAACATAAAAGAAAAAATAACCAACCACAGAGATCTCCACAGATATCACAGAGACTGCAATATAAAGACAATACAAAAGACAGACAGTTAACGGAATTGTCTTCGAAACCAAATTACATATTAGAAAGAATCACTAAACCCCTCAACCTTTACCAGCTGAAACGCTGCCCTCCCAACTTCCATTCCAATCATGGAAAAAAAAGATATTTTCCGACCTCTGATCCAAGAGCAAATTTAAGTCTTCAGAACCAAGATTTTATTACTGCTAGTAGATCTAGTAAGGAAGGCTACTAAGTATTTTTAATACCACCTACGCTTTTCCTCCATTCACACATAGCTCCACACTGAAGATTAGCAAAGATTAAATGCAAGCATTTAAGTAACACATGCTCTATGCTTTATCTTCTTGATTTTATACAGCAGCTTGCAGAAATTAGTTTTCAAAGGCCTGCTTGAAATCTGTTTGGACAAGCAGCTATCAAGAAATCAGATACCTCAAAGGTTCTCATTCAGTGATGTAAAACATTCTTTAATAGCCAGTCAATAAATGTAAATATATATTTTTGTTTGTTTGATGACACCTTCTTTGTTGTAAAATGGAGGAAGAAAGTGCAATTGTCAAGTAGTCCATTACAGGTATCAAGACAGCAATATAAAAGGCCTTGAAAGCATTCTCTCCTTTTGTTTGTAGGGGTATATTGTAGCTGTAGACAGATAGTTCTGGTTGATTGCTCTGAGTGTTATGGGAAAGAAGCTCTGAAATGATGATTGAACAGAAAGAAAAACTTACACTAAGATCAGAAAGAAGAAAGGGAGGTCACTCAAGGGTAAAACATAAAAATAAAACTTAAGGACAACTGGCATAAATCTATGTGGCTCATCTGATTTAAATGAATCTATGGCAAAATAAATGGACATAGGCTTTCGCTACTTGCTTCATATTAAAATGTGCATGTTTTAAAGAAAATGAGTAAATTAATCTTGGAGTTTTCGTGTCATGTACTAAATAAACACTAAATTAGAATTAAGGAGACCCGAATTCTATTTCCATTCCTGTAACTGGCTTACTGAATGACCTTATCAGTCATAAGACCCATCATCTTCTCTTATATTATCTATAAAATGGGATAACGGAACTCACTTTTTCATAAAGCATGCTGAAAAGCTATGTCAGTGCTAAAGTTTATTACTAATTTTACCAGTCTATTACACCAGTTTTGACTCCACTTAATTCTGTCAACTTCTGTAGAATTTCACTGGCAGAAAACTAGAGTAAGATATTGTTGAATCAAGACTGCACATGTTGCAGACATTTTATTACAGATTTAATAGGCAACATCCAGATACGTTTTTTTAAAACTGATAATGTATTGATTTAACAGATTCTGAAGCTGAATTTTTATGTAATTAATATTTCAAAAGTCAGCTGTTCTGAGTACATGGAAAGCAGCCTAGAGCAAGGAAAACAAGGAAATACAGTGCAAAGATGTGCCAGTTTCTGCCTCTCTGGAGTTCTGGCTGCAGACTCAGGGAAAAAAGTGAGCGCCTCTATGCACTGGATATTTAAGCCTGGGACCCTCCTCTGAGAGTAGGTGTATACTTACTCCTTTAATAAATTTGAGTTGCATTTGAATTAGATTCATCAATTACATGCACGCATTTGATTGGAATTTTGTTGTTGGCATGCATATTTTAAGCATTCATAAAGTGTCTTTATTTTATAGCAAGTACTTGTGGCTGCTTTTAAAAATACTTAAAACACTCCACCAGACCTTTGCCATTCTGAATATAAGCAAGGGAATATGTGAATTATTTCTCATAAATAGCTTTTAAATGTCTGTACACAAGCCATCATAGGGTTTTTTCTGTGTTTTTTGTTTTTGAAGTGATAGTTTATTAAGAAAGGAAAAAAAAAAAAAGAGGAGACCAGCAGTGTGGCTCATAGCTCTTCCTTTACCAATAGTGTGAGTTTTAAAAGCTATCAAATCCCTCATCTGCAGAATTTAAAGGGATATATAGCATTTCTGAAACTATCTCTTTGTGTTGTGAAGAAAATGCTTATTCAGTGATTTAAGATACCATTCCTGTCTTTAAAAATAATCACATCATTGAACCTATTCAAAAAAGAGATATTGTGTCTTTATTAGACTATTCTATCTATGATCTATAGATCATTCTTCATTACAACAAACTGAACTTGAAACACTCAAACACCAGTTTAACAAACTCTAAGACACCAATTCACTCAAAGAGGCTAGCTGCAAGATGGCATGATTAAAACACTGTAGAGACTAAAGAGAACTTTTCCGTGCTGTAAAATGTAGAAAGCAACAAACACTTTTTAGCTTTTTGAAGATGTGACTCAGATTAAAGTACAACATCACTTTAGCCACAATAAATCAATACAAGTGATAATTTGGTTCAGGAAAATAAATTCTTATCCCCCACCTTTCTCATTAAGATTACGGAAAAGTTTGGATGATCCTTTCCAAACTGGTGGTGTCTCCATAAGGATCTGATTCAGTTCCTAAAAATAAGATTTAAAAAAGATAAAAGTATATATTTAAATATTTAATGAAGTAGTTACCAGATTATGAGTAAACGCTAGGAAATCAATATAAAAGACAAGGAACTGCATGCAAATCTATCAGTTAATTTAACTTCAGTTTACCACAATGACTTTGGAAGCACTCAAGCACATCTATAAATTTTGCACACATGATTATTCCAAGGATTGCTCATCTGCATGAATACTAAGTGTTTGCAGAGCTGGAGAGAGACATATAACCTATTTGTTGCTGAAATTACTCACCACTGCCCATATTCACTGAAGCCAAGGATAAGTCCCCCTGGATTTCAGTAAGGTTTTCATACAAGCTCCAAGCAACTGTTCTTTTAAAACACTCAACCTGAACTAAAGCAAACTTCATCCATGAATATGAATGTACTTTACTTAAAATACAGAGATACAGATAGAATCTTTTTGCAGTTGTACAAATGTAAGGGGAAAAAAAAAGTATAGAGGCACTTAAACATCATAAAAGTTAGAGAGTGGCATGAGTATTTCAAGCAGCTTTGGATACACCTGTTACACTTAGACACTAAAGAAACTCAGTCAGATATGGGCTGAGGCAGGAACTGGCAGAGGCTTGAGAAAGTCAGTAAATCCAACATAACAAGCACAGCTGCTCAAGTATCTTTGAGATTCTGGATTCAGCTGAGTCTGAAGTGACAAAAAGGAAGAAATCAGTGTCTCTCTCTTTTTTTTTTTTAATAAAGATTTAAAAACTCCCTTCTTTTTCCTGTGACTCTAAGTTTACATCATGAAAGAAGGTAACTGTATAAAAATCTATGGTTATAAGACAGCACAGGAATTATTGCCCACCTGCTTTGAAAGGGATCGCCACTTTTTAGCACCTGCAACAAAATACAAAGTTATGAATGTACAGAATTTAGTTATGCCAATGTGGTGTCACAAAAATTAGACTGCATCTATACTCTGCGTTTTCTAGCCAAAGAAAAGGTATCTTCTCTACTTCATAAGGCTAATCTTCAACCTGGTTCCAAAAAATTCTCTTTATGTTATTAAAAAAAAAATTAGCTTAATACATAGCTAAACTCCTAACTTCAAAGAACCAATTCAGATGTATAGTTTTTAATCCAACACCGCTTCAGTGAGAGAAAAGACTTTCTACCTCCAAAATACACCAGTAAAACGTTAAACAGGAAATAGGGGGCATTCATGTTAACCTGTGGCATCAATATTCTGAAACGATTATTTAGTAGCAGTAGTATTACAGTGCAGATTGCAGGGAGACCTGGATTCTGGCCCTTGCTTCAGGGACTACTCATACCTTTTAAAGCAAATTCAGAAAAAAATCATTTAAACTACACCAGGTGCTAAGACTCCCTTCAGCCATTCCTACTAACTCAGATTCATGCTCCCTCTACTGCCTCTGTCAGGCTCAATTTTTTGTAAGTAGTTTTAACAGAGGCACTGAAGAGGGCCTCCGGTACAGAACTGGAACTGCTCGTTAACACTGAAAACTGATAATGAGTAAGACTAAGCAGATGCTTTTTTCCTAACGCCTTACATGAAAGACTCCAGGAGCAGAAAAAAATACTTGCATTCGACAACAGTTGTCCACAACCATCCAAGAATCAAAACTTGAGGTTCATCACCACCCTCTCAAGACAAACATTTGCTCAGATACAATATTAAGATAAAGCACTGTGAAAAATAGTATGTGGTCAAATCCATAACATTTTGTTGGTAAAGTCTCATTTTTATAGAGCAAAACATGCTGTGGTATTAGAAATCCCTTCCTCATGATGAACTCCATGCTCTATTAAATAATTATCACAATACAGAAGCTACTCACTATGGTCTTTCATTAGTTCATGGTTAGAAACTCACTGAAATTTTAGTTTTACATCTTGCTAAAGGTTAGCACCAAGACTGTCCGCAAATCCCACTCCAAGTATGGTGGAGTTATATCAAGCAACATCATAACATGAGCCAACAGATTTTCATATACTTTTCAGTTTGATTTTTTAATGTCAATTAAACTCATGTCTCAAAATACTAAGTAAAACCCAACAAAACAACCTCATTTGCCATACAAATTGATATATGTTTATGCCTACCATAAAAAACTTGGGGAACAAATATATCTAACTTTCCAATCAGACAAATTCCCAGTCTCATACATTATACATAGGTTTTATTTCTAGACAAGCAAGTGAAGATTTATGTGTATATACATACTTTTTACAGCTCAGTATTAGGCTAAAACTCAGTATTAGGCTAAAACTAAAAAAGCGCCATAGTTAAGAGCTAAAGAGAACAAAATATATTTCCTCTTCTCTTAACTGGCTTTCTAAATATATAAGCATATATTCAGATGATAAAAATGTATCAAGCATGACTGTCAAAAATATTATATTTTCCCAAATGAAAGCCTGCACCAAAAAGGCAGCAGCAACAAATTAATTATAGCATTTATCTTATATTTTTTATAATAACTGCCTGGAGTCAAAAGTCACATTTTATAAAAGAAAATATACTCTTACCATATTAGCTAGTGTTTAATCAAAAAAGGAAGTGAACACCCTCTTGACTTTTGTAGGGTTTACAAGATTTCCAGAGCAAATCAATCACAATAGATGCATTCACTGAATGACAAATCTCACTCAGGTCTAGTATTATTAGCTTTTCTATAAAGCAGACATAAAGAGCTACTATTACTACTCTTCAAAGACCATTTTTGCTTTTTGACAAAACTCAAGACCTTTCTAGTCTTCATCCATAAAAAAAACCAGATGTATGTTCTTTTTTTTTTCCTGCAAAATATAGATGCTCTAGTATGTCAACATGAATGGACACAATTATTTACAAGTTGTAACTTATTTACAAAATGATCCAAAAATACAAAAGACGATGTTTAGAATATATTATTTTATTCAGAAAAATACCTTCCTTAAACTTGCTATCCTCCATAGAGCAAGACAGAAAATTAAGACTTGCCCAAACAGACAAAGCGGTACTTTGACAAAGCTGCAGTACAAAGGTTAAAATTAACAGTCAGAGATCAGAAGCTGGAAGTGGTAATACCTGCAAGGTCACCTACTTCATCTATTAATTCCTACTTCTCAACCTTCTGTCCAAATGTCCCAGACAATATGACTTCCACTATAATGAAGTCATCCACTTCTACTTTGTTACAGCCTCTTACACTCTCCCTTAAAATAATGATCTCAGTCATGTAATCTCTGATACTAGTCTATAAAACTAAAGGACATGCAGGTTAGTTTTGCTTTCAGTCTCAGAGATGAACTGGATGCACAGGAAGGATTTTGATACAAATAAGGTTTGCTACACTGAACTCAGAAGGGTGCCTGATCAACTCCAGATCTGTTCTCCTTTGGCATGAGATGAACAGAATGTCCTTGTGAGCTTAACACTTTTTGGTTTGGTTTGGTTTGATTTTTAAAATCTGAATACTTGCTGTGAGAGAGAAGGAAGCATAAATTTCATTAGCATGGAAAAATCTTAATAGCAAACCATACCTACAGTGTGGTCAAACCAGTCAAACTGTTGTAAAATGGAGTTAAAACAAAATGTTTAACTGATGTCCAGTACATGGCACAATTGCTTCATGACCATACATGGCGAAACCCAATTCCACAGTAACAAAAAAAAGAAGACTTGGAGATCTGGGTAGAGGAAGTAGATATAAAGTGCTGATCTGTATTTGTATTAACTTCTGTGATACGGAATCTGCTTCCTCTCTTTTTTAACTGCAGAGCAAAAAAAGAGAATGAAGACTTGCTTTCTGGTAAGAGTTTCAAAGTTTTGCAAGTTTTCACCATCTAAGCTTTATCTTCTGTCTTCACTGTTACAATGAGATTATATCTTTATTCAAAAGTTACAGAAGTTTTGATCACTGATGTGCCATGGCTGAATTCTTTCCTCTTGTTTTATCACTGTTAAGAGAACAAAGGGTAAAAATCTAACATCTGCACAGAGCTTTAAGCTCTCCTCTGACTGTTTTAGCTGCTTTTGACTGTTCTCTATACTAGCTTTGTGGTGTAGACTTTAGGAAGAAAGACCTAAGGTGAGTTATTATACATGTCACACCTGAGCAAAGATATTCACTTTCCCCAGAAGTTGTGTGCTGCTACCAATGCACTGCAAGCCTGAGGGCCAGGAAATCAAACTAGATCAGAAATGGATCACCTTACTATTTAGTCACTCTTTGATACTTAAAGCAAAAATTTTACAATAAGTGAACTAAAGTTGATAGTTTATTTTTCATTAATTTAATTAACACATAGTGCTAACTCTGGCAACTTTTAAGTGTAGAAAGTGGATCCCCTGGGGGACTGAAACTCTTATCAAACCATGTTATTTAGAAAGCCATGATATGGTTATAAAATCTCTGTAGGGCAAAAAACCCCAACACGATAGCAGATGACAATTTAAGATGGCAAAAATTGCAAAACCATGTTATCCTAAATTATTTAGAGAACTCACATCTTGCCTGCCTATTTACACAGAAACTATACAGAGGAGGAGGCAAGAGTTTTACAGCAATACTGGCCTGCTCAGAAGAAAACCATAACTGTAACTGTGTCAACGGAAATGGTACAAATGAACTACTTCTCTTTCATGCCTGTTGAGCTGTCTGTGACCTCTAAGACAAGAATGTTTAACTAATGACTAGTATACAGATGTTTACAATCTAATAACAGTCAGGATACTCGTTGTATGCTCTTGGATACCATTAAAAATAAAATTGTGGACGACGCAGTACCTTTTTAGCACAGCAGAAACAGAAGTAGTAATCAAAAGCAAATGGAAAAATAACATATACCACTGGCATTTTCCCCAGCAATTTTATCAATATAAAACTCCTGCTTACGTTTGGGTTCATCATTTGTGACAGCCTGAATGAAGTCATATGGAGTCATATATAGCTGTCCTTCAAATTCTAAACTGGCAAACCTACGAAACCGTTGCTCCCGAGGAGTTGCATAAAGATGTAAATCTTCAAGGTCTGATCTGTTTTCTGTAACCTTCAAAGACAGAAGGAAACAATTTTTTAATGTATGAAAAAAGTTTTGGTTTACAATTGCCACGCCATTCACCATAAAGAAACTGTAAATGTAAAGGTGATAATTCATAAAGTCAAATGCATCCAAATATTTTTGTATGGTAAGAGCTGAAACTACAATCACGATTTCACTGCTATAATTTTCAGTCTTCTACAATTTTAGCAATAAATCTTTATGCATTGAAATTTTTGACACTACCCAAGCTCAGGAAAAGAAAGAAAAAAAAAAGAAAAAAAAAGAGAACTTGGGCTTCTGAATCATAGAAAAAGGGGCAACTTTAACTCAAGGAAATCCATGTAACTTCAGCAGTCAGTCTTCAAACAACTCTGCTAAAATTATTTCAGTTGTCTGACATTTCCAGAAGAGAATGGAATAACACTTTTTTTATATTGCTTCTTAGTGTAGAGTGCAGCTGTTGACAATAATAGACAGGACACCTCCATAATATACTCCAGTATACTCTTCTACGGATACTGCTATTTCAGGTATCCAATGCAATTAAAACTACCATACTTGTGGGAACAGAAGAGAACATAATTATTCCTCCAGAGTTACAGAAGTACTACATGGCATTAAGTTCACACCTCATGAGAGTTTATAGATGTCAGGAGTTTCTGGTATATTTATCATCCAGCTGATTTACATATAAACTTAGTAGTACAAAACTGTAAGTGTTCTAAATTATTGCACCTTTGTGTTACACTGTCAAACCTTTTAACAGAAAATATGCTACCGCTACCTGAAAACTTTTTTTAGCCCATAACGAGGCAAGCTCCTCTGTGCAATCAGTACCTTGAAGAAAACCTAAGTATCTTGAACTTTTTTTCAGAGATGAAAAAACCAAACCCAAACTGTTTCATAAAAGGAAGAGCAATGATGTTGCTAACTTCTCCCAGTATGTTAAAATAGGAATGCAGCACCTTATCAATGAAATATCCCAAGCTGCCATTGTCCTCACTCTTCTTGTCATTTCATACGGTATCCCTAAAATTCTTCAGGTGTGAAACTAAGGAAAGGCAACAAGTAGCACATGGTTTAACTAATATCTATGTTTTCTTTTAACAACTAAGAAAACAGCCAAATATATTTTGTTTTCCAGAGAGGCATCTAAACACAAAGAGAAGCTGGGAGAGGTCTGCAGTTGCTGTCCGCAAGAGATAACAGTCCTCAACTACAAATGGAAACTGGTTTTCCAAAACCTTTCTAAGAATAGGTTTCAGATCTCAGCAATTAGAAGCAAAGGCAAAAATTTCACTTTCCTTCTGCTTTCCAAACAACGTCCTTAAAAAATAAAACATTAGTAAGACTATGGCAGTGAAACAGAATTTATGGCCTCAGTTGTAACTAAGAGATTAAATTACGTTTGTAAAATAGACACATCAAAAATGAATGTCTAGAAGAGGTCAAACACTTTCTATTTGGAAAAAACCAAAACAAAACAAAAAAATCACATGTATAATCACAATGTAACAGAAGACTTGCAATGTCTTGATTTTATATATGGGAGTCTTAGTACTTCAATACTTTATCTAGGACATTCTAACCAGGCTTCTAGAAGGCAAAAAGACTGTGGACTGCATAGCTCTCTTTCTGGACTGTCTCTAGTCTTTTTGAAATTACTGCTTCTATTGTGTGTGTGTGTGAAAATGTTTTGTTTCAATGGAAAACACTGTCATAGAAAGTAAGAGTAATAGACATGTTTATACAATAATTTAATTTTCAGTAGACTGCTCTACATACAAATATTCTGCACTTCTGCCTGAGAAGCAGCTTTAAACGTGCTCTTTGTGATTTTTATAATTTTCAAATGATTACCAAATTCAGAATGACAGAAAAAAGCTCAATTCTCTTCTGACATAGCCACATGCAAGCCAAAATATTTCTGTTCTATCTCACTGGTCTTACTGATCCTTCAGCAGTCCAGTGGCATTCAAGCTATGCCTTCATGTGGGATTTACATGACTCAATTGTTTTGGTAGAGCTTGTAGCGACATAACTGATTATCCCTGTATTTGAAGTTTAATAATCTATCTTATTTTTGATACATAAGTTACTTTATCACTATTACAAACACGCTTTTGAATACACGCAGGTTGTAAGCATAAGTAATAAAGCAGTATTTCTGCAAAGTCAATTTTCAGAAAAGAAACTGCTTCAAGGCCATATTACACATGCAGTATGTATAATCGATTGTAATCAGTCATAATCAATCATACATACTCAGGAGAATCTGTAGATAATGTATCACTCAAGAAATACCATCTTAGTTTTGATCATTTAGTATTTGGAAAGCATGTTGAGATTCTTTGCTCTCTCAAGAAATTCACACTATCTCAGGTACTACTGCTTAATATTTCGTTTGAGACACTTAGAAAAGCATTTGCTAAATTCTCAGACACATATTTCACCATTATCTTAAGTACTCTATGCTACTATAAGTATAAAATAACATACTGCAAACACGGAATTTTCAAGACACGCTTAAACTTAACTCATGCCAGTGCTCAGGTCTGCAAAGCCTTAATTTCTGCTTCATTTTAGCCAATCTACAGTTTCCCTCTATAGCAATATAGCTATGCCAGTATTTCACGCTCTGGCTCAAAGTCATTGTAACCTGACATGAATACAGCCTGCCACCAAAAGGAGCAGTACCTCCCTAACAGCTCAACACCCTGCGTGCCCTTGCTCTGGCACTTTATGTTCATTTTTCCAAGCGTCAAACTGGATAAGGGAACTGGTCTGACTGAGAACTTTTTGTTTTGGTGGTGTTATTTTTCAGCCACAAAAATGCCTGGATCTACCCCATAAGAACAGTTATTTGTTTCAAAACCTAGGCCACAGGAACGTGCAGCTTATGGAAAAGAAAATATCACTTGTTCCAGCAGCAAGCTCCACCTACTTCAAGTTAAAGTGATGGGAAAACTTCAGGCTTAAGCATAATTTTATTCCAAGGAATAAAAATACCACTTTATTTTGAACTTTGTGGCTTTATCTGAAAGAATCAAAACAAGCTGTTTCTGCTATCGGTCCAACATGAATTCAAACAAATGTATACAGGGCTGAACATGTGTTAGATCACTGGTCCATACACTGGATGTCCAAATAAAAGCAAGGTTTGGCTGCAGAAGACTCTAGGCACACACCTTAGCAAACTGACAAATAAAACCATCTTTGGGAATAATATTATTTTTGTCCACATTTCTTATTCAGAGCTTTCCTTCTTCTATTACTGCTTATCAATTTATGTAATATACAGCAACTTTAAGACTCTTGCATAAAAGCTGTAATTATTAGGAACTAACCAATATGCTAATTAAAAGCAAAGCCATTCTAAAGTACGACCTCAATTCACACCTCTTCAGGCATTCATTTAAGAAATTTGTCTCAACACATAACTGTGTTTTCCAGTTTTCCCCAACATTAGCAGATCATAATCCAGTGAGGCAAGTATGAGAATCTTAGTAACACCAAGTGCTCTCGATTTATTTCATATTTATGCCCAGGTCAGGCAATCTTATTGTAGCAGCATTAGTATCAAATCCAATGGACACATGAACAAGACACAGAAAGTAGATGTTGAATACCTCAGGGAAGGTACTGTTGGTGAAGGAATGAGCAGGATTCAACAAGATTCCAATTTCCATTTGAAGTTTCAAGAGCTTATCCACACTAAATCTCTCTGTAATTATCAACAATCTTCAAAAACTTTCATGAAAGTACATCTCTTTGACAAACAAAAGAAGGGAGATTTTTTTATGCTTCTGTTTACTAATCCTCTTGGCAATCCTGCCTACTAATTACTATGATCTTGTATCATATTATGGTTCCCTGCCTTTTAAAAACTGGACACGGCCATTTCCTTCAAGCAGAATGTCACGAATCTCCCAGTAGCAGTATTATCTTAATTTTAGGCGTAGCAGGTTAGCTCTGGTTTACCTGCACATGTACACAGACCTACTTTGTTATTAGAACTTTTAGGGGAAAAAAAAGCCCCACAGCTGAAACCAAGAATCTAGCTGGTAGCCAGAACTGCCATCCTTCCAACTTTTCACAACTCATGAAGTAAATAAAAAGAGGCAAGACTGAAGCTCACCAGCACTCATGAACACTATATTATCTTTTCCCTATTCTCAAAAAAATCTAAGCGTTAATAGTTGTAATCAAACAGCTTATGGTTATCATCCTTCTACCCTTCCTCCCTCAAACTCTGGTACCTTGTTGTTCCGTATTTCACCTCCTACCCCCTGTCCTCCTGTGCCATACCCTTGCAGAAGGACTGCAGAGGGAACACAGCACCTTTTTGGGGTGCTGCTATGCATGGTCTTGGCTTCCATCTGTCTTCTGCAACACCAAGAACAGAGACTGTGTGGCTCTTCTAAGCTCAGTTTAAGTCAGCTGAGGAGAAAAAATGATCTTGGCCTATTTTCTTGCTGTTCCCTAACACAGAAATGTATATACACATACCTAATTCTCACACAGAGGAGACATTTCAAAGCACTTTCTAAAATGGATTCAGCACTTATATTCAAACAACCACGAGGCAAAGGAAACAGAGGGAAACATTTCCCCTAAGAAAGTCCATTTTAACATCAGCTTATCAAAACAAGGTGAGTAAAAATTAAATTGAAGACCAAATAGTAATTTGGCAGGGTACTTCTCTGAATGGAGAGTATCACTCTTCAATTACGTGTGCTTCCATTGTAAATCTATACTACCAATGTATTTCAAACAGCCTAAAATATCTGGAAAAGGCCTCAAAAGTTTCAAATTTATTATGCAAATGAAAATATGATGATAATGCTCTCCCACTAACATATTTCAAGGACTTAATATAATTCCTAAAAACTATTTTCTAGAAGTACTGCATTTGGAGAGGGCCATCTAAAGCTACAATACCACCACCACATGTCTCACAGAGTAGTAGTCCTTTAGATGAAGGCCTTTGTTATGGACAGTCAACA